CGGGGTCTTTTCTGGTTCCATACAAATTTTAGGATGATTTGTTCCACTTTGTGAAAAAAGTTGATGGTATTTTGATAGAGATTGCACTGAATGTATAGATTGCTGTAGGTAGCACAGACATTTTAACAATATTCTTCTAGTCCATGAGCATGGAAAGTTTTTCCATTTCTTTCTGTCTTAATTTCTTTCATGAGTGTTCTATTGTTTCCAGAGTACAGATCCTTTGCCTCTTTGATTAGGTTTATTCCTAGGTAGCTTATGGTTTTGGTGCAGTTGTAAATGGGATCAATTCCTTAATTTCTTTCTTCTGTCTCATTTTTAGTGTATAGAAATGCAACTAATTTCTGTGCATTGATTTTATATCCTGCCACTTTGCTGAATTCCTGTATGAGTTCTAGCAATTTTGGGGTGGAGTCTTTTGGGTTTTCCACATAGAGTATCGTGTCATCTGCAAAGAATGAGAGTTTGACTACTTCTTTGCTGATTCGGATGCCTTTTCTTTCTTTTTGTTGTCTGATTGCCGAAGCTAGGACTTCTAGTACTCTGTTGAACAACAGTGGTGATAGTGGACATCCGTGTCCTGTTACTGACTTTAGGGTAAAACCTCTCAGTTTTTCCCCATTGAGTGTTATTCGCTGTGGGCTTTTCATACATGGCTTTTATGATACTGAGGTATGTTCTCTCTGTCCCTACACTGCGAAGAGTTTTAATCAAAAAAGGATGCTGTACTTTGTCAAATGCTTTTTCTGCATCTATTGAGGATCATATGGATCTTGTTCTTTCTTTTATTCATGTGGTGTATCACATTGATTGATTTATGGGTGTTGAATCACCGTTGCAGCCCAGGGATAAATCCCACTTGATCGGAGTAAATAATCCTTTTAATGTATTATTGTTGGGTCCTGTTGGCAAGTGTCATGGTGAGAATTTTTACATCCATGTCTATCAGGGATATTGGTCTGTAATTCTTTTTGGTGGGGTCTTTGGTTTTGGGATCAAGGTAATGCTGGCCTTATAGAATGAGTTTGGAAGTTTTCCTTACATTTCTATTTTTTGAAACAGCTTCAGAAGAATAGGTATTAATTCTTCTTTAAATGTTTGGTAGAATTCCCGTGGGAGGCCATCCGGCCCTGGACTCTTGTTTGTGGGGAGATTTTTGATTACTGCTTCAATTTCCTTGCTGGTTATGGGTCTGTTCAGGTTTTCTAGTTCTTCTAGTAGTTTATAAGTGTCCAGGAATGCATCCATTTCTCCCAGATTGCCTAATTTGTTGGCATATAGTTGCTCATAGTATGTTACCATTTTTTGTATTTGGTGTTGGTTGTGATCTCTCCTCCTTCATTCGTGATTTTATTTGCTTGGGTCCTTTCTCTTTTCTTTTTGATAAGTCTGGCTAGGGGTTTATGGATCTTATTAATTCTTTCAAAGAACCAGCTCCTAATTTTGTTGATCTGTTCCACTCTTCTTTTGGTTTCTATTTCATTGATTTCTGCTCTAATCTTTTTTTAAATTTTATTTTATTATGTTAGTCACCATACATTACATCATTAGTTTTTGATGTAGTGTTCCATGATTCATTGTTTGCCTATAACACCCAGTGCTCCATTCAATACATGCCCTCCTTAATCTGCTGTAATCTTTATTAATTCTCTTCTGCTGGGTTTAGCGTTTATTTGCTGTTCTTTCTCCAGCTCTTTTAGGTGTAAGGTTAGGTTGTGTACTTGAGACTTCTCTTGTTTCTTGAGAAAAGCCTGTATTACTATATACTTCCCTCTTAGGACCGCCTTTGCTGCATCCCAAAAGTTTACAACAGTTGTGTTTTCATTTTCATTTCTTTCCATGAATTTTTTAAATTCTTTAATTTCCTGGTTGACCCATTCATTTTTAGTAAGATGCTCTTTTAACCTCCATGTATTTGTGTTCCTTCCAAATTTCCTCTTGTGATTGAGTTCAAGTTTTAAAGCATTGTGGTCTGAAAATACGCAGGGAATAATCCCAGTCTTTTGGTACTGGTTGAGACCTAATTTGTGACTCAGTATGTGATCTATTCTGAAGAATGTTCCATGTGCACTTGAGAAGAATGTATATTCTGTTGCTTTAGGATGGAATGCTCTGAATGTATCTGTGAAGTCAATCTGGTCCAGTGTGTCATTCAAAGCCCTTGTGTCCTTGTTGATCTTCTGCTTAGACAATCTGTCCATTGCTGTGAGTGGAGTGTTAAAGTCCTCTACTATTAGTATATTATCAGTGTGTTTCTTTAATTTTGTTATTAATTGGTTTATATAATTGGCTGCTCCCATGTTAGGGGCATAAATATTTACAATTGTTAGATCTTCTTGTTGGATAGACCCTTTAATTATGATATAGTGTCCTTCCTCATCTCTTATTACAGTCTTTGGTTTAAAATCTAATTTGTCTGATATAAGGATTGCCAACCCAGCTTTCTTTTGATGTCCATTAGCATGATAAATTGTTCTCCACCCCCTCACTTTCCAACCTGGAGGTGTCTTTGGGTCTAAAATGAGTCTCTTGCAGACAGCATATTGATGGGTCTTGTTTTTTTATCCAATATGATACCCTCTGTCTTTTGATTGGGGCATTTAGCCCATTTACATTCAGGGTAACTATTGAAAGATAGGAATTTAGTGCCATTGTATTGCCTGTAAGGTGACTGTTACTGTATATTGTCTGTGTTCCTTTCTGGTCTGTGTTACTTTTGGGCTCTCTCTTTGCTTAAAGGATCCCTTTTAATATTTCCTGTAGGGCTGGTTTAGTGATCACAGATTGTTTTAGTTTCTGTTTGTCCTGAAAGCTCTTTATCTCTTCTTCTATTCTGAATGACAGCCTTGCTGGATAAGGTATTCTTGGCTGCATATTTTTCTCATTTAGCACCCTGAATAAATCATGCCAGTCCTTTCTGGCCTGCCAGGTCTCTGTGGACAGGTCTGCTGCCAGCCTTATTGTCTACCCTTGTAGGATAAGGACCTCTTGTCCTGAGCTGCTTTCAGGATTTTCTCTTGAAACAGGTGTTTTAATAGGGATTCTGGGGTGCCTGGGTGGCTCAGTCAGTTAGACGTCTGCCTTCAGCTCAGGTCATGATCCCAGAGTCCTGGGATCAGATCCCACATCGGGCTCCCTGCTCTGCATGGAGTCTGCTTCTCCCTCCATGCCTCCTCCCACTCGTTCTCTCTGTCTCTCTCTCTCTCTCAAATAAACAAATGAAATCTTAGGTTCAAAATCCCTATTTTTTTTTTTTAACTCCAACTCACTTGAGCAAAAGAAGGAACTTAGTGATTCCCATATACAAAATGCACAGATAGCAGGCTTCAGGATCAGCTGGATCCAGAGGTTTAAACCATGTCATCAGGGGTCCCTCTCACACCATCTTTAGCTCTGTTCTCTTTTGTTAGATTCAGTTTTCTCAACATGAACATGGGTTGCTTTCTGTGAAGGAGGGAGGCCACTAGCTGGCTGACATATCAGCTGAAGCTGGTACCCCACTGGGAAGAGAACTTTCCCATCCAAATTATCCCTATAAAAGTCCCAAAACTGGGTTTCATTGGCTGGCCTGGGTCACATGACCATACCTGGCTCAGTCACCGTGAGCAGGGACACAGGATGCTCTACTTGTCCGGGCCTGGAAGACCCGAGGTCAGTCCCAAGAACTACCTAGTCTGAGAGTAGAGAAGGACGGGTTTCCCAAGAAACACCAGAAGACCGGGCTGTGGATGCTAGGCAGGCAGCAACACAGCCGGACCCCACCCAGCAGTCCCAGCCACTGCGGGATGGCAGCAACACTCTGGCTTCTGCCTTCTTCCCAGCATCTGGGCCTCACTGCTTGGGGGAGGTGGGCCGGTCCCACCTCCAACACCTCAGAGCCCCCGGCAGGACCTTCCCTCTTTTCCAAGCAGACTGTTCTCGTCCAAACGTGCCATGAGCATTCCTCAGAGAATCCAGCCCACCGCTCGTTTCCAGGAGAAAACAGATGGCCCAAATTATTCTGTGTGTTTCCTAATGCTTCTGCATAGCGCCATGTGGGCCCCCTCAGAGTTCCAGAGTCACAAAAGCAGAGTGTTCGCTCCACACTTGGGACCAACTGTTGTATTTTGTTTTTCTTCTTCTTGTTCAGGATCATGAGTCCTGTGAAAAACAACGTGGGCAGGGGCCTGAACATTGCCCTGGTGAACGGTGAGCTGTTGATCCACCGCCCAGATAGCCCCCACCATGCTCTTAGTACTGCAGACGGGGGCTATGGGGAGGTAGTTAACATTCATTCAACCAATACTGGCTCAGCTCCTACCACGTGCCTGGGGCCATCCTCTAGTGCATGGGAGGGGAAGCTTGTGGGGACAAAGAGTCTAAAAGACCTGGTCCTACTCTCCAGAGTCCTGACCAGGCCTCTGCTGTGTGCAGCTATCCCGGGAGGATATGCTTCTCCTGTGAAGCATGACCCCATCCTCAAGGCCATGCAGCCTAAACCAACACACATGAAACCATGGGGGGACAACCACCAACAATGTGAGGTGATGAGGTGATTGCACACGTTCATTCATTCATTCAACAAATATTGACAGCAGCTACCCTGTGGTCTCCATGAAGTTGACTGCCAATCCAATGGGGTGAGCATCTATGAAGGAGAAGGAAGCACAGCCCCGAGAACTGGGACACAGAGCTGGGGATGGGGGTCATCAGGGCAGGCCTCCAGAGAGAGGTGTTGGTCAGCTGAGCCCTGAAGGATAGTAGGGGTTGGCCAGAAAAAAAGTAGGGGAGGCTCCTTTGAGGCTGGGGCAACACTGTGCAGGGAGCAGAGAAGGAAGGAGTGGGGAGAGGGATTGGGGGCCACACAGGGTCTTTCTGGATGCACCAGAGAAGGAGGGATGACAGGTGCAGCAGGGAAGGGGGGCAGGCAGGATGGCAGGGTGAGGGGCTAAGCATCCTGCTAAGAAGTATGGGCTTGAAGCTAAGGACAATAGGGAGCCTCAGAAAGGCTGTGAGCAGGGTGTGAGGGCCTAGCCCTGCATTCCAGAAACTTCCTTCCAGCTTGGAGTAGGGAGGCTGGAGGCAGGGAGATGTGGAGGGAGGCCCACAGCCTCACTACCCTGCATCTCTTGCAGGGAGCAACTACAGGCCAAGCCTGAAACAGGGACACATTTCAGGAGGGGGTGGGTTTACAGGGACAGAGTCAGGACCAGGTGCTCTGCCCTGGCCAAGACCCTCCTCTCTGCCTTTGGAGAGGCATGGATGAGATGGAGAGCAAAGGCCAATTCCCTGAATCTAAGAGCCACTTCCTGGGACAGAAGTCAGGGCAGGTGGACAAAGGGCACAGCAGACACTCAGGACAGGAAAGGCCAAGAGTGTGTGTGTGTGTGTGTGTGTGTGTGTGTGTGTGTGTGTGTGTGGCATGACCATGTGAACACACTTAGGAAGTGACAGGGATTGGATTGGTTGCTCCTAGGGGAGCCATCTCCCTTCTGCCAAGAAATCCTGCTGAGTCGGGGGAAAGGTCAAAGCCTGGAGCAAAAATGGAGCCTTACCCAGAGCAGGAGGTCAGAAGGCAGCCCTGGCCAATTTCCGGGGAGCCCGAGAAAGGTGGGGCCTGGGATGGGCAGGAGGCTGAGCAGGGCATGCCCCCTCCAAAGTCTTGAGAAGGAGAGTGAGGCCTGATTCACTCCATTGGCAGGTCCTTCCTCCCGGGAGGGCACAGCAGCTGTTCTACCTAATCCCCGCTCACCCCCCATCCCCGAACCCTCCCCATTGGGCAGGAGGTGGCCCTGGCCACAGCCCATCTGGCTGAAACCTGCTGGTTCTCTCCTCCCTGAAATGGGCCACTGCAGAAGAAGACCTCTTTGAATAGTCTCCCAGGAGACAGGCTCAGACTAGGGCCTCCTCCTCTTCCCCTCATAAAGCACAGACAAAAACAAGCATCAGTAACACCAAGAGCTAACATTTATTGAGCCTTCGCTCTGTGCTATTTCATTCAACCTCCTCCCCATGCCAGAGTGGAGTTGTGCACAGTATCCCCATGTTCCAGGTAAGAAAGTGGAGGCTCAGAGAGGTTAGGCCACGTGCCCAAGGTTACCCAGCCGATAGAATCATCTAGATTTGAACCTGGATCTGATTGACTCCAGGTTGTAATCACTCAGCTGAACTAACTTCCCTAGACTAAAAACCTCTCGAAGCATCTACTGCATGCTAGCTGAGAAGTCCAAGGAATCCTTCTCAGGGCCTCAGGGTCTCGTCTGTATATTAAGCCAGCAAGGATTGCTAAAGATTGGTGGTTTTCGGTCTTTTAGGGGACAGAGATTCCTTTAAGAAACTGTTCAAACTATACCTTCTCCCCCTAATTCCAGAAAAATATACAAATGAACATGATCACAGTTTCATGTGTGCATAGACCCCCACCCCTTTCCAAGGACCCTACACTGGTGGCTCTGAGAATCCAGGAAGGGCTGCAGTGTAAACCCCACCCATCCACCCAGCAGGAGAGCCTCCACTATCTAGACCCCTGTCCCTACCCTCTTCAGGGATCCACAAACTGGCTTGGGGGGAAGGGACCCGGGGAGAAAATATAGAGCTGCCATCCCCTCTGCAACACCCCCATCTAGTGGCAGAGAGTGAGAACTGCAACTTCCCCCAAACACCTGGTTCCCTGTAGGACTTGGACCCTTTGCAAAATACACAAACACAATCCCCATGACTGGACTCAGAGCTTTGAGTACATTCAGCCCACTGCAAATCCCTTTGCCTTCAAGAGTTGGAGGATTCAGATGTCCTATTTAGGAAGGAATAATGATAATGATTGCAGTTATTCTTATTACTGTTTTCCAGCTAAAATTTGTCTTGTATATTTACTACCTAGTTTAAATACATCTCCCTTAGTTCCCATAGCCCATTGTTCAGATGCAACAATTGAGGTCAGAATACTAAGCGGTGCGTTAGGAAGTGGCAAGGCAGAACACAGATCCAGATTGGTTGGATACCGTTCGATTCCAGAGATCCTTCACCATTTTGTCCTTGTACCTCTCAGATCAGCCCAGAAGTTACTGGGCCCCTACTCAGTCCTGCATGCTTTCTATAGGAGCTGACTTGACTCCGTTATTATTCCATTTTTAGATCTTAGACTAAAGAGTAGCCATTTTCTGCAAAACAATAGACAGGATGACCTGTTTCAGGAAATCACAGTTTTGCGCTCTCATCCGCAGGAACCACAGGACTAGTGCTGACGCAGAACTGTTTCGACATGTACTCTGGAGGTAGGCACCTCTGTTAGCACTGAGGGCACAGGGTGGACTGAGCTCCTATGGCGAAAGAGCCATCGGAGTGCTGGGATGCTCAGCTCTCGTCTCCAGAGGAGATGACCAGAAAGAAGCATGGTAGGGGTGGAGGACCATCCTGCTGTCTTTGAAGCTCCTTTCTGCTGTCTTATTTAGTTGGGCTCTCCTGGCTGCCAATCCTGAGACCAGGAGTCAGGTGCAACGGTTTATTTGGGAAGAGGTGATCTCAGGAAATGCCAGCAGGAAGCGAGATGGAGAGGGAGACAGCCAGAACAGTGTGTTACCAGGCTGAACGCTGCAGGCAATTGGAACTCGGGAGCCACTGTCAAGTACATGCCTCAGATCTCAGAGGGGCAAGGGAGCTGGGGCACTCCCACCCCTAATTGCTTGGCACTTCCCACATGCCTGGCTTGCCCCAGGGCACAGAGGAGGATCTGGAGGTCAGAGAGGACCTTAAGGCAAAGAAACACTGGTGCTGGCAGTTGGAGGCCAAGCAGGTGCGCACTCAAGTGCTAAGGACAAGGACACATGGCCCAGTTTGCTAGGTAAAAGGTATTTTAAGGCCACAGGGGTGTCTCTTGGGCCCAAGGACAGGACAAGACCTCCGAAGGCCTGGAAGGGATCGCTCTGAGGCTCCAAGCTCTCTGCGTCTTTCTGCAGACCTCTTTTCTTCTCTGTCTGCGTGCACGGGCACACTTGCTGCGCTCTGGGCACGTGACCACCCCACTGTCCTCCCCGCCCTTAGCACAGCCTGGGGACCGGACCCTGCCCTACCTGGGCCGGACATTCCCACCAGCAGCAGCTTCAGCCCCAGGCTGCCTGGCCAAGCCGTGCTGGGGGCGGGATTCTCACCCAACAATCCTGCCATCTAAAACACAGTGGAATCCGTCTCAAACTCAGTATGCCACCCACTGCCTAGCTGGCAACCTGCCTCCCTCCAACTGGCCCGGGAGCCTCACCCAGGAGTGAAGAAGCAGCAGGGCGGCCCTTGCAGGCAGCAGACGTCTTGGTCCTGCAAGGACGGGTTTCCATGGGGACGGATGAACTGAGCTCAGCCCCCTTCTGAGTTCAGCTCAGCTCTGTTTCCCTCCCCTGTGCCGTGATCTCAAGGCCAGCTCTGGGCTTGGGCATCACTACGTTCCTGTGCGCACCTAAACACAGCCCAAGAGGGGGCAAAGCCAGGCAGCGAGAAAGGGAGAAGCGCTCTTGGCTTTGCAAACAAAGGAGGGGGAGCTGAAAGGTGGGCAGTGGGAATCAGGTGCCCAGCAGTCACAGCTGGGAACGTTGGGAAGGTGATCTGCAGCACTGGGCTTGGAGAGAGCAGCTGGTGCCCTGTCCTGGGCCCAGGGCTTCAGAGGGTCCCCTGGATCCCCTGATGGCCATCCTCCAGTGAGTCCCACCTCACAGGTAGGTCTGCAGGGCCCGAGGATGTGCCAACTGGCAGCCTGCATCAGGGCCCATGCAGACCAAGGGCTGGCCAGGGCTTGGCAGTGGCTGGGGTGGTGGGGGGAGGACGGAGCTTGGACGGGCAGGCTGGGGGTGTCCACATGCAGGCACGCGAGGGCCTTCCTGGTGCAGGACAGAGCTGGAGACAGGTGAGGAGCCTGGGGCAGGCTGTGGGCTGAGGGCTAGAGACCGTCATGTGTCCTCTGTCCAGGACCCTGCATGTGTTCGGGGTGGCCCGGGGTCAGGTTTATGGAAAAGGTCCAGTCTCTGGAATCAAAGACTTCAGGCTGAGGCAGGTGTCATCTTCTGAACTTCAGTTTTGTCATCTGTAAAATAGAGTAAACTACTGTCCGCTTCAGGAGACGGATCTAGGGGATTGGGTAGGAACTGGCACCAATCAGTGGGAGGGGCGCAGGGTGCATTCAGCCTTCTCCCTTCCCTTCCCTCCTCCCTCCCTCCATCCACATGACTCAGAAGCAAGGAGGACACTGGCAGAATGAAAAAGGGTTAAAAAATTTATTTTTATTTTTATTGTTTTAATTTAAATTCAACTAATATATAGTGTATTGTTAGTTTCAAAGGTAGAGTTCAGTGATTCATCAGTCTTCTATGACACCCAGTGCTCATTACATCACCCAGTTACCCCATCCACCAACCCCCCCCCCCCCCCCAGCAACCCTCAGTTTGTTTCCTGGAGTTAAGCCTCTCTTATGGTATGTCTCCCTCTCTGATTTTTGTCTTGTTTTATTTTTTCTTCCCTTCCCCTATGATTCTCTGTTTTGTTTCTTAAGTTCCACGTATGAGTGAGATCATATGATAATTGTCTTTCTCTGATTCACTTATTTTGCTTAGCATAATACCCTCTAGTTCCATCCACATCGTTGCAAATGCAAGATTTCTTTTTTTTTTTTTGATGGCTGAGTAGTATTCCCTTGTATGTATATATACCACATCTTCTTTATTCATCTGTTGGACATCTAGACTCTTTCCATAGTTTGGCTATTGTGGACATTGCTGCTATAAATATTGGGGTGCACGTGCCCCTTCAGGTCACTACATTTGTATCTTTGTGGTAAATACCTAGTAGTGCAATTGTTGGGTCCTAGGGTAGCTCTATTTTCAACTTTTTGAGGAACCTCCATACTGTTTTCCAGAGTGGCTGCACCAGCTTGCATTCCCACCAACAGTGTAGGAGGGTTCCCCTTTCTCCGCATCCTCGCCCACACCTGTTGTTTCTGGAGTTGTTACTTTTAGCCATTCTGACTGGTGTGTGGTGGTATCTCATTGTGGTATTGATTTGTATTTCCCTGATGCCGAGTGATGTGGAGCATTTTTTCATGTATTTGTTGGCCATTTGTATGTCTTCTTTGGAGAAATGGCTGTTCATGTCTTCTGCCCATTTCTTGATTGGATTATTTGTTCTTTGGGTGTCGAGTTTGATTAAGTTCTTTAAAGATTTTGGATACTAGCCCTTTATCTGATGTCATTTGCAAATATCTTCTCCCATTTTGTGGGTTGTCAAAAAGGGTAAAAAATAATTTAAATTTTGTATTGCTCTATTATGAACATGGATGTAACTATGGCTGATGGGGACCCAGAAACAGAAGCATTTGAGGATAAGTTGCCCCTTCCCACAAGAGATAAAGAAGGCAATGACCTCTTAAAGTGAGAGGATAATTAATAGAAGGCACACTTCATTTTTTTCCCAAACATTACTGTCCATCCCAGACAAGAACAGATCTTGATATCTGGAGCTAATGGCTCCAACTGATTTTCAGAGTTCCCTCTTTTATCTCAAGAGTTCAAGGGCCATTTCCCTAACAGAGCCTCTGTGGTCACTGACTACAGGCCTCTGTGTTACTGAGCTAGTTGGCAGCTGGCCTTGCTTTCAGGATTTGATTCTTCCCCTAGGTCCAAGGGATCACTGGGGAATACTAAGAACTGGCTCATCTTCATGGGTGTGGGCCTGTGGGCAGGGCAGCCATACAGTCCTGTGCCTAGAGCAAACTCAGGTTTGGTCTGATGCTCTGCCTTCACCTGTCTTGAAATTCTTAATAATTTTTTAACAAAAGGCTCCACATTTTCATTTTTCACTGGGCTCTGAAAATTATGTCGCTGATCCTGCTGATAATTACAATTCCATTATAGTGCATTTTCTGTATGCCCAGAGTCGTCGTCACATTTGCTGTCTACAAAAATGCTATGGGCAGGGCTACGAATCATCCTAGTGTGACAGACGTGGCCCCTACTTTTCCCACTAGGCCAATCTTGCCCATACTTCCTCAACCATTCAAGAGCCCCCTGCACAAGTTACACCATATTCAGAGTACCATGTGAATTATTAGTATTTTCCTTTGAATAAACTTATTTTTTTTAACCTAAATAAATATCTTAAAAGGAAATTATATCACTGCCCTAAGTTACCAGTTTTTATGCAGGAAAGGTGACCATAAAAATAAGCACAATGGAAACAAACCCATGTCCTTGAAGCGAGCTGGGTGCTGATGCCTCTGCCAGGCGCTGCACCTAGGCCTGCTCTCTGGTAAGTGCAGAGATTTCACAAGTGCAAGGAGGTGTTAAAAATGCAAAGGGAGGTTTGCTCCTTGGCATAAGCTGGAGAACTGTAGGACACTGATGTTCTCGCTCAGTGACCTGAGTTGCCTGTGGTGCGGTGGATCTCCTCTAAAGTCAGCACAGATAGGTTCTTAACCAGTGTAGAAGGAGGTAGCAGGGGGTGTGCAAAGAGCCTAGAGTTCCTGAGACATGACTGCACTCCATTCCTCAGGTACAGGTCCCCAAGGGCCCTTAGAACAATGTCTCTCACTCCTGGCTGCACATCAGAATCTCCTGTGGAACTTTTGAATTCCCAGTGTCCACCCCTGACCACCTGCATGAGGGCACCTTTGCTTCATGCACTTTTCTCTCCCCTGGACAAGGGCTGCAGGGAGCTTCACCCAAGGTGTCGCCTCCTGCTGGCCCCTGAGCTTCAGGTGGACCTCCGTGTCAGCCTGCCCCCGGTTACTCCTGGATCTTCAGGGCAGTAGCAGAGAATGAGAATGACCAGTGGTCATTTCCCGTAAATGACCGGCACCCCATTTTTCTTCCTCCCCCAGATATTAACCTCCTGGTAAAATTCCTAAAAAAAATCCCAGAGGGCACGCTGGTGCTAATGGCCTCCTATGATGACCCAGGAACCAAGTAAGTGGGAACGTCCACCTGCCCGGCCAAGGGTTGAAGGGAACCAAATGCTTTCAAGTCCTAAGTGCCTTTTCCCTGCTCTCCCGTTGGCTCTGTCTTCTGGCAGCTTCTCCTAGGGAAATAACCAGACCAGTGCATGACAACATGTTCATGGAGGCTCATCACAGCCTCGGTTACAACATTGGAAAGCTGGACACACTGTCCCTGTCCAGTAAAGACCAACTAGTTACAGAAATTATGACACATGTTGATATGTGACATTATATGTACATAGAAGAGGATCTACATCAAAAATGATGTAGAAAATAATTTAAGGATATGGAAGAATGCTCACCCTTCAGTATTAAGTGAAAACAAAACATTATAAAAGCATTGGTATGATCCCCCAGTGCGTGGGGAACAAAGATACTAAGGAAATACATTAAAATGTTACAGTGATTATGTCAAGTGGGGTGAGACTGTAATTTCTAGTTCCTCTGTGATGTTCCATATTTTCCAAATAAACGTGTATATTTGTAAACAGAAGCAAACCCAGACTAGTGGCCACTCGGCCCTGTTCCTTCTGAGCACAACCCTGCACAGCCCAGCTGCTGCATCTGGCGGCGGGTGGGGCAGAGGGTAGGCCAAGTGCTTGAGAACCTTGCCCCTCTCCCACCCCTCCACCTCACTGTCCTCTCTGGTCCTCTGCAGAATGAATGATGAGACCAGGAAGCTCCTCTCCAGCTTGGGCAGTTCCTATGCAAACCAGCTGGGCTTCAGAGATAGCTGGGTCTTCTTAGGGGCCAAAGACCTCAAGGATAAAAGCCCTTTTGAGCAGGTGAGTTCCTGGCGGCCTCCCCGTCCCAGTGAGTCAGGTGGGGGTAAGGTGCCAGGGATGGATGGTCAAGGACTAGGGTGGCTTGGGAGGGACAGTGTGGGGACCTCAGAGGTCAGGGTGGCCCAACTGGCTAATCCCCCAGCAGGAAGTAGCCTTGACCATTTTGCAAAGATCTGGGTCATATATAAATGGATAAGTACCAGAAAGGAGAAGGAAAAGGAGAAAAGAAGGATGAGGGAAGTGAGGAATGGGAAAAGAGAAAGGAATGTAGAGATGAAGCCTGCATGATGGGTAGAGCAGGGGGCGGGATGTCTGGCTTCTGGTCCCAACGGAAACCTAAGCCAAGCCTCTTCTCTCTCTCTCCACTCCCCTGCCCCGGGCCTCAGGCTCCCCACTGGAGGGGAGAGGATAAATTTGCATCAAGAGGACGACACAAGGGGCACCTGGGTGGCACCTGGCATCTGCCTTCGGCTCAGGTCATGACCCCAGGGTCTGGGATCGAGTCCCACATGGGGTTCCCTGCTCAGCAGGAGACCTGCTCCTTTTCCCACTCCCCCTGCTTGTGTTCCCTCTCTCGCTGTCTCTCTCTCTCTGTCAAATAAATAGATAAAAATCTTAAAAACAAAACACAGGAGAGCCCACCTGAGTACATGGAAGGGGTCAGGAGTGGTCCATGACATGTGGTTCCACAGTCACTACCCAGGTCCCAAGTAGAGTCTGGAGTCTCAGGAGTGCTCAGGGGAGGAAAGGGGAGTTGATGATGGGGTGGAGCCTCCAGGGAAATGCTGCACGTTCTCTCCCTGTCCCCCATCTGTGCATCCCCAGCTCAGAGCAATTCCCAAATGTGGGAGAACTAGCCAGATCTTCCCTGGCCTGATGTAGTCCATTGTCTAGTGGTGAGAATATTCAGCTCTGCCCAGATTCCAAGGCAGGCAGCTAAGAGTCGATGATTCTGACATACAGGACTACGGAGGAGAGTGAACTCTATCCTGAAGGCAGTGGGGAGCCATGGAAGGCTTAAGCGGAAAAGCAACAAGAGCAGATTGATATATAAGAAACACTAGCATTCAGCAAGCACTTGCTGCGTGCAGGCTCGGCTGAGCAATTTACCTGCAGTGCTTTCTTTAATTCCCGCGATGAAGTAGGTACAATTCTGCTCCCACCCCACAGTCGAGGATCTGGAGCCGAGGAGAGGTTTTAACCAGCTTGTTTGGATCTGATACGGATGTAGCTCTCATCCAGGTCTGGCGGCCTCCACACAGATTCCCGTCCTGATGCTTTTAGCACAGCCTCCCTGGCCCAGCACAGGGAGAAGGCAGGGAGGAGGCCCAGGCAGTAATCAGACCTGAGGCACAGCAGCCTGCAGGGGAGGGGCTGTGGGAGGCAGGGGAGCGACCGCCTCAAGACGCTAGACTCCAGGTGCGGGGACCACAATGGGCTGCAAGGGTTTTTGCCTTGTCTGGAAAATGCTGGCCTGATTTGTATGTGTGAGTTTCTAAGAGAATGAATTCAGGTGGTTAGAAATTCCTTTTTTTAATGGTGATACAAAGTAGCTTGTGCTGGAGTAGACAAGGAGGGAGCCCTCTGTTTATAGCCTCCAGGTGAAGAACACAGGCAGCAGAGTGGGGCTCCAGAGCATCCCTGTGCAAGGAGGGGATGGGGAGACCCATCACCCAGAATGAACTGGAGACCACGATGTGAGCGGAACCATTAGGTCCTTTGTTCTCACACATGTGGTTCTGGGTTTTAGAGACGTAGCATCTAGAATTACTTTTATCCCTAAGGGTTAGCCCCAATTATTCCACGGGTAGATTTTGCTATTTACATTTTTTTCCTCCATAAACTAAGCCTAGGCACTTTAAACACCATCTTAACTGATTTTATTCTCTCTATATTTATTATTAATATTACACAGCGGTTCTGCCCCAGGGTTACTTTAGCCCTCTGTGCCTCAGTTTCCCCATCTGCAGAATGGGATGGTAATGGTATGCCCTTCTTAGGGCTATTGTAAGGAATAAATACATAAGGCACTTTGTACCTGGCATAGAGCAAGTGTTCACGAATTGCCTCTTTTCATTGTTGTGCTGGTTGGTTGGGGGTGTCCTAGAAAGGCTGATGGAGAATTTGGCAGAGGAGCTAACGTTCTGCAAGCCTGCCCCCCAATGCTTGGTACCCCACCCCCCAGGGCAGGAGGCGAGGACTGAGCTCTGATCTCCTCTGTAAAACCTTGGGCACGTGGCCGTCACTCTGCACCTCAGTTTCCCCACCTGTGAAAGGGGCTGGTCCTATCCCACACCGCTGCCTCCGCATGGGGCTGAAGCCAGGGTGAAGTGAGTGAAGGCAGGAGGTCTTAAAGCGCAGTGAAAACTCAGGTCTGACTCCTGAACAGCCTCCCCCATGGTCCGCGTTACTCTCTCTCTTCTCTCTCTCTAGTTCTTGAAGAACAATCCAGACACGAACAAATACGATGGCTGGCCGGAGCTGCTGGAGCTGGAGGGCTGTGTTCCCCAGAAGGTATTTTAGGGCGGCTGCAGGACCCAAGAAGCCTCTAGCTGTCCTAGCATCAGCTGCAGCGGGGAGAAGGAAGCCAGGTGGCCTGTGGAAAGTTCCCTGGGGGGGAGGGGGGTCCGCGCCCTCTGCGCACCTCCCCTCTCCGGAAGCAGCGCCCTCCCAGCCAAGGTGGCCAGCCATCAGGGGTCCTTCTGGAGCCTGTCTGCTTTCCCTCGAAGCCACGGTCGCGCCCAAGGAAGGACGGACTGCCCGCACCTGCGGCACACCATTAAATTTTATTTTTGCTGATTTTGAATGAACTCTCTGACCTTCTGATGTGCCGCGTTTCTCCCTGGGATCTAACTGGCCCAGGCCGGGTTGGCTCGGGCGCAAGCTGGGACGAGTCAGTGACAGCTTTGGGCACCAGGTTAGGCTGCTGGAAGACAGGTTGATGTCCTAGGGATTTCGCCAAAGGGTGAATGAATGAATCATTGGCTCCCAGCATGAGATGTAAGACCCCCAGGAGCAGAGAGAACCGGAGGACGGGACACGGAGCATGTTGTCTTCCTCTGCTGCTTGCATGAGAGCTGGAGGCTCCAGAGCCAGAAGGGCGTGGGGCGGGCACCATGTGAGGAAGGCTGGGAGGAAGAGGCAGGCTGCTGGGCAGGCTTCAGGGAGGACGTCCTGGCCGTCTTCCTCTTCAAGTGGTTCCCCAGGAGCTGCCCCTGAGATTTATTCGGGAGGTGATTCTGGAAAACAGTGGGGGTGGGGAAGGGAAGGCAGCCAGTAAAGGCTGTGTTGTCGACTCTCCTAGGGCCGTGGGTGAGTGGAGCTCAGTTCCTGGAGGACCCCCAGGAATCAGTGTAGAATACACAATCAGAGATCTCTGAGCCAGGGTGAGGGAGCTGAGCTGCTTGTGCACCCATCATTGCTGGGGGGCTGCTAATGTTGGGGCTGATGGGAATTCCTGAGCACCTCTTGTCTGCCCTACAGAGGAAAGCGTGGCCGTCCATGGCTGCACAGTGAGTCCTTAGCCAAGAGACGTTGATACCAGCCACTGGAGCCCACGGAGGTGGTAAGGCCCAAAGGATATAGTATAAATACCCTGCCTGGGGTCTCTGAGAAGGGCCATGGGTGGGGTGCCTAGACCAAATCCTGGGAGGGGGACATGGAAGCAGACAGGACTGGTACCTGGGCTCCTGGAGTGTGGGCCAGTAAGACTGCAAAGCTCCCACAGAAGTGCAAATGCCCTGAGCCGTGGGCCAGCAGACAGGTCCTGTGCACACCAGTGAGGTGGGGCCCTGGGCACAGTCAGGGCTTCCAGTGTGCCAAGAGGGTCTGGGGTAGAGAGGAGGACAAGAGTGTGGGACCCTGAGGCCAGAGGACACGATGGGCTGGGACTTGGGCTACAGTTGCAATGGGGTTGAGATCAGTGTTCAAAGCCCGATAGGACAACTTGGAGCAGGCTGGGCTGAGGAAGTAATTCCATTACCCCATTTTTCCCAGTGCAGATCACTCTCAGGGATTAAAGGGGGAGTTTGCTAGCAGCCCCGACTGACTCCTATACAGACACTCCATTTGTGTGGTGTAGGATGCCTGGCGGCTACATAAGCAAATGAATGTGCTTCATTCCTGCCCTTTTGTTCCCAGTGGCAGGGTCCTCTGTTCACACCTGACCATCCGTGCTAAACAGGACCGCCACTGAACCCCGTCACTCTCCCTTCCCAGTCCCTGGGACTGAATGGTGGTTTTCTGCAGGCCCTGGACCCTGATGGTGCCACTCCTTTTCTCTCGGCTGACTCACTTCTTGTTCTACTCTGTTGCAGGCAGTGTGGTGGACAGAAGGCCGAGCCTGGGTCTGAGTACTGGCTCTCCACTGGCTAGCTGGGTGAGCAGATGCCACCTCTCTGAGCCAGAGAGCTCCCCTGTGAGAAATGGGGGATTCGATCCATCTCGGGGGCGTAGGGGCAGGAAATAGGATAAAATATCCACAATGCCAAAAGTTGTCAAAGAGAAAAAATATATATATTTGTATGTATATGTATGTATGTTTGGGAAAACATCTGGCCAGATACCCACCCTGGGAATGAAGAAGGGGGCAGGAAATTTCCATTACTATCATAAACACCTTTGTATGTTTGGGATCTTTCTTTACAACAAGGAAGAATACCTTATAAAATTAAAAGAACCAATAAGGACTTCTAAAGTGAGTTCAGGGCCAGAAGTAGGGCTAGGTAGAGCTCTGGGCAGTGGCCGCTATTTTAAAAGGACATGGGGTGGCCTGCTGGTTGTAAGAGAAGACTCGTGGTACTTTTCCAGAAGCTGTCTTGCATAGCACTTTAAAGAAGATTGAGAAAATGTCAACAGGATGAATCAGAGAATTGGGGAAAGGGTCTCCTGGAGTGGGGGAGCACAGCGGAACGGCTGGTGCCCACCCAGGCCCCCTCACCCAGTTTTTGCGTCTAGGTGTGCGTCTATGAGCCTCTTTGGAGAACTGCCCTCGGGCTACTCGTTCTTAGCTCCCAGAGGCAGAAAAGAGAGGCCAGGAGGTGCCAGAGTAGAGCTGCTGACTGCCCAGCTGGAGTGTGCAAGCCCAGCTCCCTGTCCTGGGGCTGGACAACCAGGAGCTACAATCTACACTCCACGGTTCCCGTGGGATCAAGCTGGGAGTGGACCTGAAAGTGTCCCTTTGCTTGGTTGTGTCCCCTTCCCTATCCTCCTCCCCTACCACTCCCCTACCTGCATCCTTAATCACCTGCATGAGAACACTCACCCGCAAGTCGGCTTCTTGGGGAATCCATCCTAAGAGAGGCAGTGACCATGGCCAGCCAGATGGAACTGAGCCTGGGCGAGGAGACAAGACCACCTGATATGCAGGAATTGTCATAAAGAGAGTTCCCGGTGAGGAAAGGCTCAGAGTGAGGAAGCCGCACTTGCCGCTGCCACACGGGACCTGTAGGAGAAGCCACCTGCTGTGCATGCTTGAGAACACGAAGTGGGTCATGCCCCCTCCCCTCCTCAACCAGGGGCAGGCCTCAGTTGGCACATCCTCCACATGATGGCAGGGAGCCCAAATGACCATCAGTGGTACCACCAAAACCTACCAAGGAGATGACATTCTAGAGCCAGCCCCTTCTAGGTCCTCCCCCCCGCCCCACAGGGTGGGCATCACAAAGTGGCAAATACCCATCAGATGCTCAACACCATTTTCAGGGCACTGTGGCCACTACGGAGACCCCCTCCCCCCCCGCCGACCCCCACCAGCTCAGAGTTAGGCAAGACAGTCCAAGAAAATGGCTGTAGAGAGTTGGGTCTATAGCCCCCTTATGAGACTGTTTCCTAGTCAGTCATTACCTGCTACACAAGAACTGGGTGGGCACTGGGGATACCATAGTGAAGAAAACCAGACGCAGTCCCTGCTCATAGTCCAGGGGGACGAAGATCAAGAGGCAGTAGGACTTGATAAAGGCTATGTTTGGGGGCGGGGGGCAGGAACTGCAGGATCAAGGGAGGCATCCTGGAGGAAGCAGCATCTACACTGAGCCTGCAGGAGGCACAGGAGTTCACCAGGCAAAGAGGGGACCCCGGAGGCCAGGCCAGGGAGCAGCATGGACCAGGCCTGCGAGCTGGAGAGGCCTGGAAGGGGCAGAAGTGGGTAACAAGGGCTGAGCGGGCAGGGGTGACAGGCTTAAGGGTCCTGTGGGCTGGGTGCAGGGGCTTGGACTTTGTCCAGGGGCTGTGGGGACACATGGAGAGATTGAAATTGGGGAATGAGCCAATCAGGTTTGTAGTTTTTGAAAATTCCTCCCAGCTGCTGTATGGAGAAGGGAGTGGAGAAAGGGAGGCCAGGGGAGTAGGCTGCTGCCTCAGCCAGAGCGGTGCCCTGGGGATGGAAAAAAGAGGACCAGTCCCAGGGATATTCAGGAAGTAAACCGGACAAGACTTGAGGACGGATTTTTCTCACCATCGGGGTGGACAAGACTTCAGGAGTCTCTGCAATCTACTCATGGGCCTCAGAATTTGGGACTCCTATTTCCCTATCCTCTCCGCATCAGCCCACCACTCCTCTTTCCCAAGACTGAGGATGGGGAGGCAAAGGGGGGCGGGTGTGCCTCTGTTCGCACAGCCCCTTTGGGGCTTTCCAGCAACTGTAATTCTGGTCCTCACCAGTAGGTGGCAGCCCAAGATAGAAAGGGAAAGGTAGCAAGGTTACCCCTGCCCACCCAGTTTGGGGAAGGGTGCTGTGCTTAATGGACAGGATGCCTGGGACTTACGAATGGGCGATGGATTTACTATCACATTATTAACAGCATCACAACATCAGCACCTGATTTCTAGGGGGAATTGTGGTTATATGCTCTGTGCAGGGGTTTATATGCATTTCATCCTCGGCCCCATGTGGTGGCCCGTTGTCTCCTTTTACACGGGAGGAGAATGAGGCTCAGAGAGGCCAAGAGACTTGTGCAAAGTCACACAGCTAAGAAGCCTCAGATTAAGGGTTGGAATCCCAGCCGATCTACATCACTACAGGAAACACCCTTCAGAAATACTTGCCCTGAAACCACTCAGGGGTGAACAATGTTTTCTCCCTCCTCCTCCTCTTCCCCTTCCTCTCCCACATCCACTCTTCCTCCTCCTGAATGCCTCTGGAGACCTTTGAAAATTGCTCAGAACCTCTGAGTCAACATTCTCAAAACCTTCCCCCATTTTGTAAGCCTTGCTTCCCTCTACAAGATTGTGGGTCAAGAAGGAGCAGGTGTTTATGTCCATTTCACAGATGGAGAAAGAGAGGCTACAAGCTGTGCCCAGGCCACACAGTGAGACAAGGCAAAGCTGGATCTTGACCCCACCCGACCATCTGTCTTTTCATAAATCCTCTGTGTCTGCATCCCAAGCACCTCCTTGGTCCTGTGCTGGGCTCTGGAGCCACCACCCCCATTCCTGCCTACGGCATGGGGTCCAATTCTTGCATTGCAGACCCACATCCTGCCAGGAGCTGGGCTTCGGACCTTCAGCCAGTCGAGGGCTCCAGTCAACTAGGCTTTTAGTGAAGCTCATAAGTCATATTTCAGCAGGACTCCAAGCAGATGGGGAAAAATTAATAAACGGGTAAAATTCCTTTTCTCTCCTCCCATCCCACCAAGAGCCAAGCTGGTGGATAATTATGGGATGGCTGCCAAAGGAGTTTGATCTTCAGGGTTGACGTATGGCATTTTTACTGCTCTGGCTGACAGCCAACTTAGTCACTGCCCTTTACAATTTTGTGGATGCTCTCCTTACTGCAGGAAATCAGAAGCTGTACCCCAGCCATGACTGAAACAGGGAGAAAGGGAATGGGGGGGTGGCGCTGAGGCAGGGGCTGGACCCAGGAGAAGGAGCAAAGGAAGAAGCCACATTTTTGCTTGCCCGGAGGAGACAGGACTAATATTTGCCATGCAGGGAGCTCTTGCAATGAGCTAGGGCTGTGTTAGACACTCTACATACTTAGACTATTTCATTTCATCCCCCATCATGTACTCACCCACTCCACCAATATTTGTTGTGTGACTGCAATGTGCCAAGCTCTATTTTACACCAAGGGGCTACACTGATGAACAAGACAGACCAGGTCCCAGCCTTTGTGGAGCTGCCATTCAAGTGCAGGAGCTGAACAATAAACACAGACATAACATCATTCCAGTTGCTGATAAATGCCATGAAAAAAATAATTAGCCCAGGAGGCTAGTTTGCATAGAGTCAGGGCAGGCTTCTCTGAGGAGGTGATAATGGAGCCTGATGGATAAAAAGGAAAGAATCATGCAAGATTAAAAAATGGAGTTGAGGGAGAGAGATGGGAAACATTCCAGGCAGAGAGAACAGCAAGTGCAAAGGCCCTGGGGTGAGGAGGAAGGGGGTATGAAAGAATTGTCAGGGAGAGAAGGGAATGGGAAGTGAGGTCTGAGAGGCAAGCAAGACTTGATGGAACAGAACTTTGGACCATGGGGAATTTGATGCTATGGGCAAAGCTGGATCTAGAATACCTCATCCTGACCCTTCACTACCAACTGCCATTTCATAAATCATCTGTGTCAGAAATCATCACCACCTCCTAGCCAGGCAATGTGCTAGAGGAAAGGGAGGGCTGCAAGGTTCCCCCTGCCCAGCCATCTCTTAAGAAAGGGTGTTCTGCTTAGACCAGTTACTGGGGACTTGCCAGTGGGCAGTGGTTTCATCCTGAGTAGCCTTGACCGCATTTTAACTACAGCCCCTAACTTCTCTGGAGAATTGCTGTTGTCCAAATCCTCTGCTCAGAGCTTTACTCAAGTCACCTCATTTCACCCTCAGGCCCCCATGGGGTTGGGGGCCACTGTTTCCCCACTTTGGTCAAGTGGGGGAGTATAAAACGGAATGACATCATCTGATTTAGGCTCTAACAGAACCATGGCCCCAGCAGTATGCACCTACCTACCTCTTTCAGCCGCAGAGCAACCCCGCGCCGTGTGATTATAGCAACACACACGCACAGATGAAGAAACTGAGGCTCCCAGGGGTCGGATCATGCCCTACCCCTGGGTCACACAACTGTGAGGAAAGAGCTGGGATTCAAGCCCAGGCTGGTTTCGGCCTTAACCTCGTCCCATGCTGGCGATAAAAAGAAGGAAGGAGGGGTAGCAACTGAGGAGGAGGGTAACTGCTGGGGGAACTTTGAGAACTTGGCTCTGAGCCTGGAATCCGGCCTCCAGATATTTTCCTGGCCCAAGCCCAGCCCAGCCCTCCCCGCCGGGACTACTGTCCTGGTGAATGAAGTACTTGGCTCTCAGAGTCTCTGCTCTGGGAGAGCCCTTGCCCCCAAGTGTCTTAAAAGATCTAGTATTAATGGGGGCTGTCCAGCCAGAGGTTCACATCCCCACACAAGCCTGCCCCGAGCCCCACGGCCCGGCTGTCCCACGCAGCCTCCCCTGTCTGGGACCTGTCTGCGGATCAGTGCCCAGCCTGGCAAGAAGGCCAAGTCCTGCCTGCTGGGCCAGCCAGAGGTCACCCGCTGTACCCAAGCTGCCGGCCGCATGGTGAGAGGACCGCTTTGCTTCTCTCCCCCCTCCAACCTTGGATGCCTCAGTTTCCCCTCCTGAGAGAGGCAGGGGTATAAGAAGTGAGGAGCTACAGGGACCACAGGACGTGTGAGCCATCTGGAGACACCGTGCCCCTCTGACAGGATGAATCACCCTAAGCCTGTCTGAGGAGCTCTGGGCTTAGGAGTAGCTGTGAAAGCCTCCTTTGTGCCTGAGGAGAATGAGCCGCGAGAGCACGGGGGGCCCTGGCCTGGGGAACCCCCTGGGCCCCGGCTCCTGAGAACAGCATCAGCAGGGAGGACCCCCAGCCTGGCCCCCGAGGTCCACGCAGGCCTGGTGCCCACTCCATGCCATGGGAGCGGTCCATGGGAAGAAGGTAAGAGCCCCCGAGGGTCCTGCCGGGTCCGTGAACGTGGGGAGAGAGGCTGCATCTGGCAAGTGGGAGCCCTCCCCCACCCACCTGCAGGCTGCATGGGGCCTCAGCCAGGCACTGCCCACCCGCCTCCCTCCTTGAGCTCACAGCCAAGATTTGCATCGAGAAACCTGCCTGGGCTAAGGACAAAGCCTTCTGATCTCTCCATCTCAACAGACCTGGGGGCTGTCCACTCTCACAGGCTGGTCTGACACACACACACACCTCTCTACTTCCGCACATACAGGCTCCGTGGCCGCCCCTTCCCCGTGTGCCACAGGAGTGTCTGTGGGCAAGTTACTGAGGCTTTCTGTGACTCATTTCCCCCTCTGTAAAATGGGGGCAAGAGTCACTACCTCAGAGGCTTTTGGTGAGAATTAAATGAATTAAAATGCATGTAAAGTGTTTCGAACGGTGCCCAGCACACAGTGGGCTATATATAAGCTATGCTCTGTTATTAGAATTCTCTTCCTCTCCCTCTGCATCACCTTCTTCATCTGGACTCAGCTGGGGATTTGTATGCATAGCCTATGCGGTGTTTCTGAAAATGTGGTCTGTAGACCCCCTATGTCTGCCTTAGAGAGGGGGCATGGGAAGGGGCTTGCTCAACAGTCTCTTTCTTGGGGCCCCCCCAGACCTCTGGGATCAGGGGAAAGGGGAGGCAGGGCTCCCCAGGGATTCTTTTTTTTTTTTTAAAGATTTTATTTACTTATTTAATTGACAGAGACAGCGAGAGAAGGAACACAAGCAGGGGGAGTGGGAGAGGGAGAAGCAGGCGCTCCGCTGAGCAGAGAGCCCGATGCGGGGCTCGATCCCAGGACCCTGGGACCATGACCTGAGCCGAAGGCAGTCACCCAACCAGCTGAGCCACCCAGGCGCCCCCCCAGGGATTCTTAAACAAGCTCTCAGTCCACATCGCCCGGGACTGTGATCCCAGCGGTGTGGTCAGGCTGCCCGGGGCCCTGCTCCTTACTGTGCCAAGGAGCTGAACCCCTCTGGATCTCAGCTCCTCCCCTGTAGAGTAGGGCTGGTCCCCACCTCCCGGGAGGTGCCATGACATGATGCTGAGGACGTGCGTAAAACGCTGCCTGACACCCAATAAACAGGGGCTCTAATGCGCAGACGGCTCGTGGTTCTGCTCGACTCTACATTTTCTGCCAACCCTGCCCATCCCACAGTTTTCAGATTTTAAATAAGACGCATCATGGACCCCCATGGAGGAAGCTTTCTGGACCTCAGTTTCCCCATGTGGAAAATGAGTGTTGGGTGAGATAACCCCTGGGGTCTCCTTGCGCTGGCTTCTGCTTCCCACCGCCTCTGTTTCAGGTACAATCAGGCCTGGGATCTCCTGCCTGCCCTCAGCAGCCCCAGCAGCATTATCCTAAAAGGTTGATGTCCTGGGGCTGTCCTTCTCCCTCCCGCAGTGGCCAGCGTGGGTCACCTGCAGTTAGGGCAGGTAGATGATCTTTGCGCCCTGGCCCCACCCAACCCCTTGCAGGAACTCTCTTCCAGCTCCTCTGCTCTCCCAACGGAGAGTGAGCTCAGTCTATAGATCCTGCCTGAAACGTAGACATGCAGAGAGTCACCTTGGAGAACAGCTTCCCAGGCCTAGAAAAGACCCTGACAAGGTCTGGCCTAGGAAACGCAGACAGCTCATGGACTGCCTCTCCCTCTTCTCTCACCCACAACAAGCATCACAAATCAATCCCTGCACCCTTTCCCACTAGGCCCAGATGGCCTCAGAATCCTCCTCAGCACAGCAGCTTAGGAGGCCCCCTCCAGTCAGAACGAGCCCCCAGACTGGCAGCCAGGCCTATCCTGGCCCAGCCCCTCCTCCCGCCCTTCAGCAGGGGGGAAGGTCCCAGAGCAGAGCGAATGGGAACATGAGCTCTGGGGTCAGAGTCAGTTCCTCCTCACATACCCTGTGACCTTGGACAAGACAAGGCACCTTTCTGAGCCTCAGGTTCTGCCTCAATAAACTAAAGATAATAATCCTTCTCACACTGTCGTAAAAGCTAAATGATATCATGCCTGGGGCCAAATAAATGCTCAGTGAACACTGACTCCGTCTGGGTTTGATCCTCTCATACCTGCGGCCTCTTCTGGGCTTCACACCCTCCGTTTGAGCCACCCAGGGCACCTACTATCACACCCCACGGCAGATGAAAACCCTGAGTCGGGAGCAAACACGATTTCCCCCAGCTGCTCAGGGGTGGAGCCAGCCCGGAGATAGGCTGTGAGCGTGTCCAGGCCAGGCCCTTTGTGGGGCTCCCTATCTGTGGATCACCCCCCACCCGACTCCCCACATGCCTACTGCTCTGTTTCTGGAGGCAAGAACCCAGCTGGTCTCTGTGGGATGTCCGTGACACCCACTGGCCTGTCCTAGAAAGGTCACAGTGCTGTCCTTGGGGGCTTCTCAGACCCCCTCCCACACTTAGGGCTTAATCATAGTTCTAGTAAAAAGGTCTGGAAACCCCCTGATGATATGGTCCAATCCCCTCCCTATTGTACAGCCAGGAAGACTGAGGCCCAGGGCGCCTGGGTGGCTCAGTTGGTTAAGCAACTGCCTTCAGCTCAGGTCATGATCCCAGGGTCCTGGGATCGAGTCCCGCATCAGGCTCCCTGCTCTGCGGGGAGCCTGCTTCTCCCTCTCCCACTCCCCCTGCTTGTGTTCCCTCTCTTGCTGTGTCTCTCTCTGTCAAATAAATAAATAAAATCTTTAAAAAAAAAAAAAAAGACTGAGGCCCAGAGAGCAGAAGGACTTGCCAGGGCCATGCAGCCAGGGTCAGACCATTTCCACAAGGCCCGGCAACTCCAGGCCCTACTCTGGAGGCACACAGGAAGGCAGTGGGTCTCCTTCCCCAGCGCCATGAACGGTGGGACTGAGCCACCCTCAGAGAATGCACTGAATGCACAAACGTCCGCCCTTCATTTGCTCAAGCCCACATTTGTCCACAAGCCTTCATTTGCTCCCACCCCAGCCTCCCATTAACAAACATTAACTGGGTACCTGTGCTGGGAGCTGGGCCAAGGAGGGAAAGGCATCCCTGCCCTCAAAGCAACTCTCATGGACCTCAGACCCCAGCTGACGATCCACGGAGACCAGGGGTCAGGGCCCTCCGTCCTCAGTCCCCCGTCAGCAGCCAGTGTCCCTCAGGAAGGGGACAGGCCCACAAGCTGTTCCAGGCAATGCCTACCCAAGTCCAGCTCCCCAGACGTGATCCCGAGTCTACCGCTAAGGCTGCCAATACTAAAAACAGATACTAAATGATATCCTGGTATCAGAAAACGTTACTAGTAACAGCACACAATGCACCACAAGCTTCGGCAAAGATTCTCTCAGTCAGTATTCCCACAGCTCGCTGAGGTGGATACTTGCATTACCCAAACAACCAGAGGCACAGGGAGATTAAACGAGAGCTCAAGGCCACCCGGCTAGTAAGCAGTGGAGTCGAGATTTGAACCAGGCAGTCTGAAGAGCCTGGACCCCTCGGCCAATGAACTGCTCTGCTGGCGTGTGTGAAGGTGGGCTCTGGAGCAGGAAGCACAGTGTTCAGTCCCACCCGGGTCCCCAGTCAGGGCCACCTGCTCATCCTCTCGGAGCCTCAGCCTCCTCATCTGCTACATGGGATCGTGATTTCCCCACGCACACTAGGATGAGCTGAAGCGCCTGGCACAGAGTCGGTGTCAGGGAATGGTGGGTCAAGCTCTTAACCCTGCTCTGGAAGCTGAAGGGGGAGCTCCAGCAGAGAGGGGGCTGGCTGTGCCCCCCAGATCCCCACTGGAACCCCTTGAAGGTTGGACACTTAGCATGCTCTAAGACATCTATCTCTCCAAACTCCGCACCACCTGGGTTTTTCACTTCACTGAATGAATCCTGTATTCTGACTCTGGGCATTTGCCAAGTCACTCATCGCTCTGCATTCGTCTTCATTAGAAGAAAGTCTCCTTGACGGAAACAAACAGAAAAAAAGATGAGAGATCCAGCTAAATTTGATAAATGGTCTGAAAGGGAGTGTTCGTTCTTTCCAAGTCCAAAAGGCGCCCATCTGGCTGGGCCCCACTGGCTCCCTGAACAATTATCCCTGCCGATGATGGATGGCTCCCGCTCAGCGAAACCCACTCGGCGGGGCGTAAGCACCTCGTTAG